TCCGTCACAAGGAAATCAAACTGGGGCAACTGGTTGTCAGACTGGCCTAACTCGTAACCATGTTGATCTAACTGGTCACCACATGCCTCTAACTGGTGCGGGCTTCTACCTCCGATTCCCTCACACCCTGTTCCCGGATGAATATGACAAAGCAGTACTTAATTGCCCTAGAGAAACCGAAATACCATACTCTGCGCAGTCCGTTTTTAATTCTGAAACGTAATGGTGGAGGTGATATGAACGCACAAATTAAAACACTTCATATACCTTAAAGAAAAAAAAAAAGAAAAACAATTTTTTTACCCTTTTGCAAACTTCAAAAACATGGAAGATGTAAATTCAACGTTAAGAGCGTAAGCACTTTTTCATAAGCCGGTGTAGTTTTAAAGTCTTTCTAGAGCGCAGTAAAAGTAAATCTTTATTAAAACAAAACACAACTTGCGTTAGAATACGTGTAAACTAAAGGATACGTTTTCTGTTTTTTTTTTTTTTTAACAACAAGGCTCAGGTTCCCATCGAAGGCTTGACGACCACTTGCGGTACGTTTTCTTCTTGAAAGTACTATTCCACCAATTCTACAATATGCTATGGACAGTTTATGCAGTCGCGAATACTTTTGAGTGAAAACCACTCAGCTCACAGACACTCGCAATTGTGTTGGGGCATTTTCTAGAACCGCTCAAGTATTGAAGCAAAATATTAAACCAGAACGAAAGAATGTGTTAGAAATTGGGCGAGTCTGTTATATCTATCTCGCGCAAACTTCGTGACGTCTTTTTTTAAATTATTATTTCCGTTTGCGGAGGTACTTCATACCTCTTTAATGCTTATACATAAATATGTTCCGCCCAACCCCGTTTTTTTTTATGTGTCGGATTCAGAAATTCCTTCTTCACTTCAGGTAATCTGGCTATAGTGGGTGACAGGTCAAGAACGAAGTGGAAGCTCTACCCGCCCCTTTCCACTTCAGCGGAGCAAACGGTGGGGAGGAGGTCGTCTCCTCTCCAGCGTTCTCTCTACATAAGTAAAAAGAGGGGGGAGGAGCTTTCACTTCGTTTTTGACCTGTCACCGACTGTACACAACAGCGCGGTACAAGATTTTATTTTGCACGGCCTTGACTGTTAAGTCGCATATTAAACGGAACAACGGATGGGTATGATATTTTTGGGGACGTCGTTTATCACACATTAGGTATTGTATGCATCTTCCCGCCATTGCGTCTTTTTCCATAGAGAAACGCACAGCCAATTACTAAACGGTCCCAGATATGGATAAGGAGAGATGGCGGTAGTTTGGTCACAACAGCACATCTCCGTTGGTGGCCTTTCCATGCGCCACTGTAAATTTCCGGTTGAGGTAATGGCTGCCGTCTTGGAGTTTGTCCGGACCTCGAGCGAGGCCCGGGTAGAAGTTGTCGGTGCCCCTGCGTGTGCCCCAGCGGCTGGCTGGGGTGATGCTCAGTGACGGCCTCGTCTCCAGCCAGGAGGACGCGCAACTGCCCCTCAGAAACATCCGGAAGTAGTGCCGGAACCTGGGCCGTGGCGATCATACCGGTGTTAGTAGACTGCACTTTGAGAATATGAAGCATCACACGTTCAATCCCGCGAATATTGAAACGTGCGTTACTTTTCGAGCTTGCTGTTAACGATATGTTTGCATATTCAAATTATACGCTTAGAATTTCGCTTTCATCATCAACGAGAGATGGTTTCGTAGGAAGAACCTATAACTTGGATTGGGTGCACAGACACACCTTTTGCTGGATTTATCTGATGAAATACTTTCGTCATTCTTGAATGTTGCTATTCTAGACTTGTTGGGGCACCAGATGATGCGCTCGTAGGTTAGAGGTGTGCAAATGACGAGACCAGAACATGTATATTTGTTCTTATACCGCACTACATAGGTTATTTCTTTTTTATTCTTACACATTTGTTTAAAAAAAAAAACGTGAAAGCTACACTAATGCGGTTTGTGCAGGTGGGTTATACGGCAAGGCGGACATTATGTGGGTGGCTAATCTTTGCGATAAGTCGGCTAACTAATTAAAATTCGTTAATTAACTTTTTAATTACTGAAAATGAACACATGGTTTCAATTAGAAACTTGTAGAGCATCATAGAAAACCACTAAATCAACGATGTTTGGAAGGATATAACGCCGGGGAAGCATTTTACGGCGTTCTGTAAAAGCGTTTTATTTGGACGCGTTACTAAATTTCGGTTTCTTATCGGAGCGCATCTTTGCTCCCGCAGACCTGCTCCCCCATGTGAGACGCGCAACACACGTGCGCCGTACTTCCCTCCTTTCTACGAGGGTGGCGAGGGGGTGGCTTCGCGCCGCGACCACCGGGGACAGGACCGCGGGCGCAAAGATGGGCTCCGATAAGAAACCGAAATCTAGAAACGCGTCCAAATGAAGCGTTTTTAGAGAACGTCGTAAGGTGGTGCCCGGCGTTATATCCTTCTAAAAATAGTTGATTTAGTGATTTTCGATGATGCTCAGCAAGTTTCTGTTTGGGACTATATGTCTATTTTCACTAATTAAGAAGTTAATTAACGAATTTCATTTAATTAGCCGACTTATCACAAAGGTTAGCCACCCACATAATGTCCGCCTGGCCGTACAACCCACCTGCACAAACCGCTTTAGTGTAGTTTTCACGATTGTTTTAGACAATCTAATTTACTGAATGGCAAAAAAGAACATAAAAGGTAATCTGTGTTTAAGCTAGCTCCGCGCCAGCTGTGAGCGTAACTTTCACGAAAACACAAGGGCTGGGTTTCACGAGAACCCTGCGGTGTCTGTAATTTTGTCAGCGGCGGGGAGAGCGGGATATAGGTGACGTGTGCTGACGTTAGCGCTTCGGACCAATGCCAGCGTCCCAGGCGTCACTTTCTCCCTCTCCTTCTCCCTCTCTGTCTCCGACGCTGGCGAACGAAAGAGATCGCCGGGCTTTCGTTAAAACGAGCGTTTTAATGCTAACGCATTAATAAATCTCAAATGCGCATAGAGGAATTACGTGTAACCTGAGGGGAGGTAAATAAGAAAATATAAGTGAGTAACTTCCCTCGTCGTTTCCCATAATAAGACAAGGTGCTCCTACCGCTTCCCTTTCCCCTTCGAACAAAACAATCGTGGCTACGTTATGTAGATAATGCTTTTCATATCTTTAGCGTAAATGCCTTGCCACTACCCAAGAAAAAGAAAGATTAAGAAATTGGGTCGTCGATTAATGGGATTCATCCCATGAAATTCAATGGACGCGTGGCCTCAGTTTACTTCCGTCGTTACTCTTGGTGTCTTCGCTGGAGCAGCAACGGAGCAGAGCCGTGTATTGGGAGAGTTTGGCCATTCATTGGTTTTAAGAGGCGAGTATCTCGTGGCCAATCACAGGCCTCGAAACAGACCCCTAGCGGTGGCCGTGAGCTCTAAAAATGCGACTTGACTAATTTAAGCCGTTTTAGCTCCGCGAGAGTAAAAAGGTGAAAACTTGGCGCATGTGAGGTTTTCGTCCCGTCCATATTCAACGGTAGAATAAACGAACGTGCGCTTCAAACCAGAGCAAACTGCGTGGTTGCGGTCGTTGCTGCTGATTTGCTAAGGACGCCATTGTCACCGAGAAGCCGAGATTGAACGCTTCTATTTCATACTTTAAATTTAACCCCCAATATTGTGACTTCGCCGTCTGCTCATTGGTTGAAGCTGTGTCGCACTTTTAGTTTACGCTTTAACCGCGCGGGAAATATTCGGCTCTGGAGGTGGCCTTTGCTCCGCCCACTGGCCAAACTCTCCCAATCTGCTGCTTTGCAACTGAGTTGGGGAGTTAATCACGCTACTTGGCGAAAAAGCCGGCGACAAAGTCGGCGGCTCTGATTGGCCGGCACCAAGGTTAACTGCGGCGTTGGACAATCACGGCCTCCAGATTTCTTGCCGACGTTTTCGCCTAGTGACCAGATTGGGGCCCCTGGGCCACATTCCAAAGCGGCGCGGCGCCTTCTCTCCTCTGCCTCCGCGGCAGCTTTTCCCTGCTATTGGTCCGAAGCGCTGACGTCTCCAGGCGTCACCCTCTCCCCCTCTCTCCGCCGCCTTACGCCGACACAATACCTCCTCACCACCCTACTCTCCTCGCGACGACAGGCATGTCTCTGACACACTGACTGACACCGGCGGGTTTTCGTCAAAACGAGCGTTCTAATGCTCACGCATTAAACAATTCAGTCTTTAATAGCATAAACACGCTGCGGATGGTCGACGCCTTACGCCATTGAGGTGTGTCGTGTTCATATACTTCAAGTTTGAGTGTGCGAAGTGTTTATCATCCATCATGATTACCTGATTTACGAATCGGTATGTATTCAGATAAAGCGCCAGTAGCCGAACGTCGAATTACCTCTCTTTATCGTGAGCACCATCGGTTTTTGTAAATATACTGAAAACATTAGATGAATAATGATGATGCAAGAACGAAAACAACAGAGGGCGCCAAACTGCAATTTATTTTTGTTGCGGGACGCCGCACAAAAAATACGGTGGCCTGGCAACGTGTGATCGATTCAAAAGACAATAAGCGCCCATTAAAACAAGAGACGCATATAGTTTGCAAGTGGATTTCCCCTAGAGTACACCTGGGAGCAGATTATTGTATTATATGGCAAGAGTATTGTTTTATTAAAAACTCGATTCTTGCGAGTGGACTCGTATGCCACACGTGATTTTTCAGAACTGATAGAATTTAAAGAAACATTAAAGTTCTATTCAGCTTGCACAATTTAAATAAATATAGACCTACATGCGTGCTGTGTTATGATATAGACGCGTTAGTTTTCTTTTTTTTTAATAGAGCAATAGTTTCCATCTTTTTTTCAGCAATAATTAGCACCTTTCTTTTACGCGACATGAAAAAAACTAAGGTAAAATTTGTTTCAAATTATATGCAGAAACCTTCCCTGAGATATTGACAAACCTCAGCGGCAACCATAATGTAAAGTAATACGTCTTACCTCCTGTTCATGAGATAATAGACGATTGGGTTGTACATGGCATGCGACATGGCGAGCCAGTACATGGCCAGGTAGACATGCTGGATGGAATCCACGTAGGCCACGTTCGGGTGGTGGAAGACGTACAGGAAGTACAGATGGTACGGCAACCAGGACACCGTAAACAGAGTCACAACGGTGGACAGCATCTTGACAACCTGAAGCAAGAAAAGACACGCCGGAGACCGGCAGGTAACCTTGTGCGCCCTATCGTCGTCGAGCCGTGGGACAGTACCGGAGCACGACCCGTTTATGTATATGGGGTACGTTTTGAACATTCTTGTTTCAAAAGGAGGGACAACTTCTGAAGTATCCTTCCCACAGTTTATGACATGAGCATCTGTATCCTTACTGGGGAACATCTGGTCTGCGCTAACGTGAAGCTCAGACTTCGCTCATGGCAAGCCGTGGCTCCTAGGCTGCAGATGCCAAGAAGACTTCGAAGCTACACACACCAAATATAGTCGACTGGGTTCATGCAGGCTGAAATTAATATTGTTTAACTGCAGTTTCGTGCATCCTAAAAACTTCAAATTATATTTAATTTCTGTAAATTATACTCTACATTAAGTATTCCTTGTCAAAAGCTTCTACTCGAGTAAGCACTAGGTTGAAAACCAGTTTTTTGAGCACTCATCGGCAAAATATTGTTCGTACAAGATAATAAAACAGAACATTGACCGTAAGACGTACACTACAAGTAAACGTTCGAGATTAACCATCTTGTGAGTTTGTTCTTCTTCTTTTTTGACGGATTCAATACGTTCCTTTAGTTTGTGAATTCCCAGAACAACCGATGTTTGTCACAGGCCGACCGATGTATGTGTGTGTTTGCGCCTCGTGTGTCGCCACCTAAATAGTATTTTTTATCATGCACCGCGAAGCTCGAAAATGGTTATATTGGAAGGTTAAATGAACTGTGGGACATGGCCTTTCTGCTTTCACTCAGAGACCGGTGCCAGTTTATTGTGAGCCTAAGTACTGTATATTACTTAGTTTTGTGAACCTCTGGATTTTAAAAATATCACAAAATACTGATCTCGCCAATACACAGCCTCACGGTGGCAAACAGATTTAGCATGTAACTTCCAATTGGAAAATTTCGAGGCAGTGAAATATTCCCTTAAAAAACAACTTGTAATACTCATGAAATGTTCAACCCGCGAAGATACATTCGTTTACAGTGTTTGCACTTTCTTCCCTTCATTCCTTGCACGCTTCAGCTCAGCATCGTTGCCCGAGTTGGAAAAGAATTTGCCGTTTTTTTAACGTTTTTGTTCACTGCAAGGGTTTTCAGATCGTTGTTCAAAGGCCTCCACACTGGCTGGTATGGCTACACTTACTATGAATATAGCGAGGAATAATTGGTCATAAAATAAATCTGACAGAGTGACGACGGCGTTTGCCGCCTCCTCTCTCATGAATCAGCTCGGTACATCTATTCTTGTAAAAGAAATGCCACCCTTGCTTCATTTTAGTTTACTTTATTACGGAGCCGTCATGTAGAATACGCAACAAACTGCCAGATATAGCAAAGAAAGAAAAACAAAAAAACGACTAGCCCTTTCAATCAACTTTATGACATAATCTATAGGTAAACACGAAAAAAATCATTTGTAATATACATGTAGGTAGTTCTTGTAGTGTCCTCTTCTGGACACTCATGTTGTGTGTGTGTGCGTGTGTGTGTGTGCGTGCGTGCGTGCGTGCGCGTGTGTGCGTGCGTGTGCGTGCGTGCGTGCGCGCGTGCGTGCGTGCGTGCGTGCGCACGCGCGTGTGTGTGTGTGTGTGCGTACGTGAGTGCGTGTGTGCGTGCGTGTGCGTGCGTGCGAGTGCGTGTGTGTGCGCGCGTGCGTGCGTGCGTGTGCTTGCGTGTATGCGCGTGCGTGCGTGCGTGTGCTTGTGTGTATGCGCGTGCGTGCGTGTGCGTGTGTGTATGCGCGTGCGTGCGTGCGTGTGCGTGTGTGTGTGCGCGTGCGTGCGTGTGTGTGTGTGTGTGTGCGTGTGCGTGTGCGTGTGCGTGTGCGTGTGTGCGTGTGTATGTGAACTCTTTGAAACCTGGAAAAGTGGCATATGTCCACTCGAATTGTTAATGTCAACGTGGATAAGTCTCGCGTAGGCTGGGGAAACCCGAAAGAATAAAAAGGAAGAGGCGAAGAAGCTAGGAATTGTGTTACCCTATTTCCCGCCTAATAAAGTGCAATTAATCACTGATATATGATGTCATGATCGTAAAGAAAATATGCGGCTCGCATCGACAAATAAAAAAAATTAGTGTTACGTCTTTAAAGATTACGCTAAAGTCCCAATACCATCAAAGTTAAAAAAAGAATATTGAAAAAGCAATTTTTGAAAAAGTCCGAAGCGTCCAGGAGTTCCATATTTAAGCTTTCGCTATTTTTGCGGGCGATATTTGTTTGTAAGTTAATTTTGTGGAGCAGTGAAGTCTTCTTTTTATGCCCCCCCCCCTCTCCCCCAAAGCGTCGACAACAAGTGTGGTGTCCGTTATAACGAGACAAAAATGCATGCACTTATCGAGGTCGTCCCGAAACTGTCGTCTCTATTGTGGGGCATGTATACGAACGGGGTCCGTCTTAACGAGACGTGACCGTATCAGCCTATTCTGTCTCTTGAAAGCTGCTATTCCCTTTGTTCCGGCAATGATGATTTGTTTGGGAACTGGTGCGTGTGGAGGCAGCCTAGAAAGCGACCAGCCAAGTCGGAGTCACATTACAAAACTGTTTTAATTCTCGAGCAGAAAGAGAGAGAGAGAAAAGAGAAGAAACGAAACGAACAAACCAACAGACAGACAGAGCGCGCGCAGCACAGCGCGCGCTCTTGGCGCGTGCCGTTCGGCAGCGGTGCAGGTGTAAGGGGGCCGCTGCCACAGATGCCAGCAAAGAAGGAACAAACAAAAGAGGGAAGAATTTAGATCGTACAACTAAACATAACATTTTCCCCTCCCTTCTTTTTTTTTTTTTTTAAGAGTGTAGGAACAAGACGATGACAAAAACATGCACGCATTTACAACAGCAAAAATCAAGAGCATGATAAGCACAGTTTAAATGAAGCACACAAATAGTTCACTCTACGTCGAAAACACAAAAGGAAATAGTTCACTCATTTCATCGAGTACCAAGGTCTCCATACCGCACTGGTGGTCGACGGTTCCGCCCCGAGCGCCTTAGAAGCACCTGCCTAGGACACTGAGCAGTTGAAGTTCCCATTCCTGGAGGCGTGTCCGGGGCAGGTCTGCACTCAGGCGTCCGCGATCGAGGCAGCTGCTGCATGGCCGAACTTGACTCTTGAGGCTGCCAAGTATGATGCCTATGGTACGCGTCACCTGGAGTAGCAGTGTGGCTCGCGGGCTGGCCACCTTGAACGGCAGCCGGTGTCCCCTGCTGATCACTTCCTAGGCTGGGATCGGAAGCAGCTGCGAGTTTAGAGGCATTCCACACTCTACCATCTCCCAGCCGGAATGTCCACCGACCGACCCGCTTCATGATGCGTAGTGGCGGCCCGAAGGCCGACTTCCCCTTGGCTACCTTTCCTGGTTTCTTCACTCTAACCCAGTCGCCTACCCTGAATCTGGGGCTCTTCGCCGCTCGACGCCGGTCGGTGTACTCCTTCGTGTACTGCTGCCTCTGCTGCACTCGATGTCGCAGCCGTTGCAGCTCCTCGATGGGATTTTGCAAGAACTGCGCCGACGACAGTCCGAGGATGTTAAGGCGGGTGCGAGGCTTCCGTCCATGCAGCAGGAGAGCAGGAGAAAGTCCAGTCGTGGCATGGGGCGTGCAGCGATATATCATCAGGTAGTCTACAAGGGATGACCGGATGCTGCTCCGCTCAAGGTTGGCGCACTGGAGAAAACCCTTTAGGGTACGGTTGAAACGTTCAACCTGCCCGTTGGACTGGGGGTAGTAGACAGAAACCAGCTGGTGCTTTATACCTCGCGCTTTAAGGAACGTCTCAAATTCGCCTGAAACGAACTGTGGCCCATTGTCGCTCACAACGCTGTCAGGGTACCCCTCTCTGGCAAAGATGGCGCGCAGAAAGTCCGTGATCCTCCCCGTGGTGACGTTTGGGCAGAACTGTACCTCGGGCCACTTGGAAAAGTAGTCCACCAGCGTGATGGCGTAGCGACACGCAGGCTCCGCTCGCTCAAAAGGGCCCACGACATCGATGCCCACCTTTGACCAAGGTCGCTCTGGCAAGGGCACTGGCTGGAGAGGGGTCGGTGACGTCTTGGCACTCTTGTCTGAGGTGTTACAGATTTTGCAGGCGCAGACTGCACTACGCACTTCTGCGTTCATGCGGGGCCACCAATAGAGCTCACGAAGGCGTGCTTGCGTCTTGACAATGCCGTTGTGGCCCTCGTGTGCTCTGGCGACAAGAGCGCATCGCATAGTCGTGGGGATGACGAATTGCTCTCCGCGCAGCAGGAGACCGTCGTTGACGGAGAGCGCATCCTTCAGGTCGTAGAAGATGGCCGCATCAGCGGAGAGAGAGCTCACTGGAGGCCACTTAGAGGTCACATATCCCATGACAGTGGTGAGCAGAGCGTCATTCGCTGTCTCCTCTTGCAGCTGTTGTTTCCTGATGCACTCTTCGTCTAAAGCGACAAAGGAGATTATCTCGTCGTCGAACTCCATCCCCTCTTCTTCCTGTGACATCGGCAAGCGGGACAGGGCATCTGCTACCTGGTTTTCGGCACCTCGCTGGAACTCCACCGTGAAGTTGTACTTCAGTAGGCGATGTGACCAACGGGTGATCCGTAGCGGGCGACGTCCTGCTCCTCCGGTGGACAGCAAAGACACGAGTGCTTGATGGTCTGTGCGAAGGGTAAAGTGGCGGCCCCATAAGTATATGTGCCATTTTTCGCACGCCCACAAACACGCAAGCGCTTCTTTTTCCCCGACCGAGTATCGCCGCTCTGTCGAAGTGAGCGTCCTTGAGGCGAATGCGACAGGGAAGACGCCGTCACCATGACGCTGCTGCAGCACAGCCCCAATGCCGTATGCCGACGCGTCTGTGGCCACGATGGTCGGCAACGTGGGGTCGAACATTCTTAGTGTCCTGGCAGATGACAGCAGCCTCTTGACTTGGTTGAAGCTTCTGTCCGCCTCGTTGTCCCAGACGAACGGAGTGTCTTTTCGCAGGAACCTTCGAAGAGGTTCGACCTCAGACGCTAACCGAGGCACGAAGCGAGAGTAATACTCCACCATCCCCAGAAACGAACGGAGTTGGGTGATGTCCGTGGGGATAGGGGCAGCGTTGAGTGCATCCACCTTCGTTTGTAGCGGAGCAATCCCTTGAGCGCTGACTTTATGACCCAAAAACGAAAATTCTGGCACATCGAATAGGCACTTGTTGTTGAGTTTCAGTCCAGCATCCGAGATACGCCGCAGCACCTCACGCAGACGGTGTGTGTGCTCCTCCTTGGTCCTGCCAAAAACAACAATAGTCGTCAAGGTAGACCAACACACCTTCGCAGTCGTGAAGCATTTCCGACATCATCTGCTGGAAAGCTGCTGGCGCCGATGCCAGTCCGAAACATACTCTCTTGAACCGGAAGAGACCTTCGTGTGTAATAAATGCGGTTAGGTCCCGGCTATCTTTATGTAGCGGCACATGGTGGTAAGCAGCCGCTAAGTCAAGCTTGGAAAAATGTTTGGCACCATGTAAAGCATGCAGAAGTTCTTCTATGTGCGGAAGAGGAAAGCTATCAATAACGACAGCTTTGTTGGCTTCCCGCAGGTCCACGCACATTCGAATTGAGCCGTCTTTCTTCTGCACCACCACAATTGGTGATACCCATTCAGAGGAATTAATCCGCTCGATGACCCCAGCCGCTTCCAAGCGTCTGATTTCTTCTGATACTGACTGACGCGCTGCTAGAGGAATACGTCTCATTCGATGACGGACGGGAATGACAGAAGGTCGAATGTTTACCTTGTGGACAACGTCCTTGACACGGCCAAGACCCGGACTGAAGAGGTGCTCGAAGTTGCTCATGGAAGGCGGCAGGTTTGGCTTTGCTGGTTCAGGCACCACTGAAGCAGCAGCCTGTGGTGGGGACGATGTTGAGGCCAGCTGATTTTGCACCCTTGCCGACCACTCATTTCTCAATGCACTTGACGCTTCGTCCTGTGGGGCCGGTGTCAACCTCTCGTCCTTCTCTCTCGGCGGGTCGCCAGAACCCTCTGTATCAGTATAGAAGCACGACCGAGTGGCGCCACTTATCTGGATGTCGAGGGCTACAACAGCGTCCATGCCGAGTAAAGAGGTACCACGGTCAGCAATGTAAAAAAGTACTGTTGCCGCACGCTCCCTGAACATTACCGGTGCCTCGAATGCTCCCAGAATGGTGATGGGCTGCTGAGAAAAGTTCAGGAGCTTCACAGGTGGTGGTACAACTGTCGCCTTGCTCGCGAAATACCGGACGAACATGGCACTATCCACGATAGAGACGGCTGACCCCGTGTCAAGAAGAAACTGCAGCGTCGAGTCAAATACCTGGATGTTTAAGTACAGCTTGCTTTGAGAAGGTCCGGAAATGTGGGACACCTCCCACTGCTCGTCGTCGTCATCGTAGTAGTCGTCGACGATCTGCTCAACTTGATCACGCGGGCGGCGCAGCAGGGATCGGCGAACACTTCTACAAGCGCGTGAAAAATGTCCCCGACGACCGCAGTTGTCGCAGTGCTGACCTCTCGCTGGGCAGACGTCATAGCCCCTGCAGTGTGCCTGACCGTAACCGCAGTTGGGACATGTTCTTCCGTAGCCGTAGTTCCGCCTTGGAGATGGTTGCCGCCGCGGTGATTCGAAACGCACCGAACGCCGAAACGCCGATCGTGCAGGGCTCTGTTGACGACTGCCACGGTCGAAACCACCATAGCCGCTACGGCCGCAGGTTACGCAGCTCTGCTGGCTAGGCGAGCGCGAAGCGCGTGCGTTCACTGACCGGGCTGAAGCAGCTGAAGAACGCCCCGTCGGAGATCGCACAGGTGACTCACGGCGCGAGCGCCACGGCTCGTGCAAAGATGACATCATCGGCTGAGGTTGACTCGTTGCGCGCCCTGTGACGCGGCAGGTCACGTGCTCCTCCGACGCCGTCGACGGCGCAGCTGGCGCAGTTGCCGAAGCCCATTCTCGAACTTCCCGGCGTGAGCGTTCCAAATTAAGGACAGTCTGTAAGGCCACGCTGAACGGCAGCGCGGCGTCAAGTACCAGGCGTTCTTGAATCTCTGCGGAAGCAGCACCCACCATGAACTGTCGGCGGATGACAGCCTCGGTGTCGGCACCGAAGTTCGCCGGCACGGCCAATGCTCGGAGTGCTGAGAGAAAGTCGCGCAGAGATTCTCCTTCTTGCGGTTTTCTCATGTGAAACCGGAGTTGTTACAGGGTCTCGTTGACCGGCTGCGAAACTTCAGCCTCGAGGACCGTGAGGGTCTCTCTATACACGTCGCGAGACGCTTGCCGGGCTTGCTGACCGTCTCCCGCCGGTGACGTTGCTGGCGCCGGTCCAACGGGAGCTGGTAGAGAGTCATAGATGCGCTGGCCTTCGACCCCCAGGCAGTTGAGCAGCTTTGCTTGGCGTCGCTCGGCGGAATATTCCTGAGCGCCAGTAGCCAATATGTATCGCTCGAACATTCGTAGCCACGATTTCCACGGTATCGGTGGCGTACCGGCCTTGTCCAGGAAGTTTGGTGGTGGCCGGTCACAGTCAGCCGTGCTTGCGGCTAAGATGTCGGCTTAGGAATCGAGGAGGACGTTCGAAATGGAACGCACGGCCATTGACAACCAGCAACCGAGGTTCTCTGGTGAGCCCGGAATTCGTCGGAAGCAGGAGTCGTCGCGACGCCAGGCACCCCCGCCGATGTGAGCTTATGCCGAACGACGCACGTTTCCTCTGGGAGTGAGAGTGCCCAGGTTCAGCACCCTCGTCGCCAAAACTGTGGAGGCAGCCTAGAAAGCGACCAGCCAAGTCGGAGTCACATTGCAAAACTGTTTTAATTCTCGAGCAGAAAGAGAGAGAGAGAAAAGAGAAGAAACGAAACGAACAAACCAACAGACAGACAGCGCGCGCAGCACAGCGCGCGCTCTTGGCGCGTGCCGTTCGGCAGCGGTGCAGGTGTAAGGGGGCCGCTGCCACAGATGCCAGCAAAGAAGGAACAAACAAAAGAGGGAAGAATTTAGATCGTACAACTAAACATAACAGTGCGTGCGTTCGATGCGGAGGATCGAGTTCGCCCGGGGAAGCAAGATCGGCGTCTGACTGACCTTCCGCTTGCTTTGCAGCGCCTTGTGCTGGTGTTGGGTGAACTCGCCGATGAAGCGGCTTCCCCACAGGACCATGCTCATGCGCGTGTACGTGGCGATCATGGTGGTCACCGGCACCACGTATGTGAGCACCAGGAACACCACGTTGTACCTGCAGGAAAGCGTTCAATCCCCTTCGTTTCAATTCCAAACACCACGTTGGTTGTTTGCAACCAAAAAGTGATTGTGTGCGACAGAAATGCAGAGCCTGACAAGGCTCGAGCAATGCCCAGGTGAGAAACGCCGAAGTTCGCACAAGCTTGGAAATTTTAGGGGCCTAAGTTGGGCCTAATACGGTCTTGCTACAGGGCTTCAGTTAGTGTTAGAGTATTTTCTGGGTCGTTTTTATTGCTTTTCTCTGGCTCGCCACGAAATTGCCAAAGTGCCTCACTCGAGTCAACAACGCCACGTATGAACCGAAGAACCAGCAGTAAAGCCTAACACTCACACTTGTTTGGCGGTTAAGTCAGAATTTTTATTTTCCAAAACAAGAAATAACTTTTGGAGGGTCCAAACCAAAATCACAAAAAAGACAAGACAAAGAAGCCTGACGAGGTGCCAAGGGCCTTACGACAGTCGAACTGTCAGTAGTTAATCGTAACACTGGCATTTGTTTGGAGATTTAGGTGGAAAGAACCAGATAGCAGTGAAACTACCAGCAGTGGATCCTAACTTTTGCACTTGCTTGGTGAGTAGAGGGCCAAGATACCCAGACTCTGGCCAAAGATGGTTAAGTAAGGCTGTACCTTGTCTTCTGGCTTTAACAGCGAAGCTGTTTATGGCTAGGGTTCCGTGGAGTTTTCGTGTGCGTGACCAAAAACTCTGCGCTCGCACCGCCGCACGCGCCGCACGCGCGCGCCTTCCCCGTATAAAAGATCCGAAGTAAATAACCGAAATAAAGCGTTCACGAACACGCGTGCATGGTGCCATTGTTTTAGGCTTTTCCTTTAGAACAGTTACTGCTGCAGACGCCCGCAGGTGGGGCGTCTGGAACATTATTCCCTGCATTCTACTTGATGCTTGGGCAATTTAGCAATACGCCTCGCAAGTGGGCTCATTTTCGTGTTCTGCGCATGAGAAAGGAAGTAGCGGTGACGTCAGAACGCCGAGCCCTGATTGGCTGATCGCGACCCCCTATTTCAGCGTCGTCTGCTCCTTTGCAACGTCGTCTGCTCGCAACGTCGTCTGCTCGCAATGTCGTCTGCGTCTCTCTTACCTTTCCTGCGACTTTCGGAGGTGCAGGTCTTTACGAGCGAGCTCGACTTCGCCTTTCAGAGAGGGCAGACGAAATAACAACTAGCAGACGGGCATCAAAGAGAGAAGCCAAAGGGCTCACTGGCGAGGTGTCCCGAGGCGCCGAGGTTTGTTATCTGAGAACCGAGAGGGAGCGTGTTAGTGTCCGCAAGTTCCCTCCCAGATACTTTTTCCCTCCTTTCGTGTGCGGCGAGACCCCTCATTCTTTAACGGCGTCGGCGGGTTGGCGCAGTTATTAGGGAGTTTTCGTAGATCGTTTTCGCCGTTCCGCAACGGCTCTCCGCAACCCGCTACGTTACCCGGAACTGTACAGTCAAGGCCATCGGCGCGCAGGCGCAGTAGCAGTTTCTTCGTAGCGGAGGGTTTAGCGGAGGAGGAAACGCGGTCTACGAAAACTCCCTAATGTCGTCTGCTTTACGTCTGCTAGTCAAAGCGATGGTTGCTTTACCTTTCCCGCGTCTGTCGGAGATTCACCGCTTTTTCACCGGCGAAAGTCACCGTTTCCTCGGGAAACAAGGAGATAACAAGAGGAAGAAATTGACCTCTTAATCTAAAATTGAGGTAAGCGATCAAAGTATAATACGGGAAGGGTTCACAAGGGTCGCGCGGGCATATTCCATTCAGCACCCCAGCCGATCGTGGGCAGACGGTCGCCGAGTCGCGGAGTGCCTGCTAGGCCTAACTGCCGTGCTCGCTTGGTCGCGTTCGGTGGAATCGTGGCCGTTGGAGCTTTTCCCGGGTGTTTGTGGATTTAGCGTTCTTGTTCGTCGTGGTCTGTTTCAAGTACCTTTTATTTTTTTCTTGCTGCTTGAAGTCGGGACGCGTGAGAAGCGCACGTTGAAAAATAAACGTCCGTGGGTCGTCGCGACCGCGACGCTGTCGGCCATGCTGATTTGATCGTAAGAAGTGCGTAAGACAGCTTCGGAGCTGTCGTAGGATTTCGTCGTAATCTGCGCAAAACTTACGAAGATTTCGTTTCGTGAATACGAATTTGTTCTTAAGTTTTGTCTTACGCACATTTTTGGCGTAAGATCGTTTCGTGAACCTGGCCTCTGCACTTCCGAAAGTCGCAGGAAAGGTAAGACAGACGCAGACGACGTTGCAAAGGAGCAGACGACGCTCAGATAGGGGGTCGCAATCAGCCAAACAGGGCTCGGCGTTCTGACGTCATCGCTACCCCCTGCGCAAAAAGCAAACGAACTTGCCCTCCGCATAGGTTTATTCTGTAGATTAGTTATCAACCGGCACCATGTTTGAGATCAGTAGATTCTCAGGTAGATAATTCTACCTAAGATTTGCCGCTGCGTGATCCGTGTCGGACTCGCACCGACCTCTGTTTGTCGTTGTTCCAAGCACTTGCGTTCCTAGTTTCCTTTCCTCACGCTCTTGGGGTGGCGGTCCCGTCGCGCGCGTCCACTTTCCTTCGGCTATGGTGCCTGGAACGCGTCTCCGACTGGTGTGTTTACCGCGGCCAAAAAAAGTGGTCCCTCGAGTTCCGCCCGATGACGTCATAGAAGTGTCATGCAGGCCGTGTTCCAAAACTTACTCGATCTTACTCCAGGGTAAAGGTTTTGTACCTTGGCGTTCCAAAACCTACCCGCGCCCAGCGTTTTTCAATATGTGATGTCACGTGACACAACCCGCCGGAGTAACTGGGATCCATTTAGGTCAGATTTGGAACACAGCCGCAGTCACCGGTCGCGATCCTGGCGCCGCTCCAACAGCTGTGCTGTAGGTGGCAGACGCCTGTTCTGCTGTAGGTCGCTCTCCACGGTGACAGTCCACGGAAGCTACAGCAGCTGGAAGTTGGGACGCCTGGGACGCCGTTACCACAGCGACACTCGCGTTCGCTCGTGCTTTTCGCCAGCATTTCTACGGCCAACCGCTAGGATCGCGAAAGGCTACAGCAGGACGCTCCGGCTTCTGTGACGTCATTTGTTGCCACTTCGGGACCACTTTTGATGTGTGGGCACCATACTTCGATTCAGGCACCATACTTCGGCTCCTCGGGGCGGTTCTGTGTCGCATGCTAAACAGCTTCTCTGGTCATCCACCTTCACAAAGTGGAATGGCTCATGATTTTTTAGTGTCCTGAATCCCCAGATGATAATCAAACCTTGGCCCGAAAATTGCGCTATCTGGTGGTCATGAAATATAGGTGGATCGATGCATTTACCCGTTTGCCTTCGAGCCTACTTGGACGTCAACGGCGGGACGTAGCTCGGAGTCCCCTGTCTTGCGATCATTAGAACAATAGAAATGATTCCCGTTCTGAGCAATCACGGTAACAATAAATTCCCTGATTAGTGATGAAACAGCCCGCTAAACGATCAGAAACGCCATCTAAAAAGTTCGATTCGTATCAACTTCCGCACAATATGGGTAGAGCAGTTCAAATGAGTCCAACAAAGAACCAGTCGAAAGCAAAAAATAAAAAAAAATGACCTCGACGGGCTTTTTGCTCTCGTACATGCAAATCGTCCTTGTCTGATTCACCTACAGAATGTCGTTCTCGAATAAGAGGTTTTAATACGTGAGAAGGCCCTGATGATTTTCAAGCTCTAATGTAGGCTGCAATCTAAAAAGTACTCGAAGTAAAGTACAAAGTAAATGAGAGGTTCAGTCTCCTGCAACATCAAAGACCCACTGGGAGCATGTACCCGAAACGGCGGCAGGTGGGGGTGCTGCGCGCGCTTCAGGCGATTTCATTTTGTTTCGAGTGGAGGACACTCACTCGGGGCTCAACCGGGCCTGAACACACCTAAAGGCTGAACTCCATGGAGCGAATTATGCGACGAATAACTGACGAACGCCGCCCGACGGCACGCTCGATTTGCGCGCGACATAGCAGCCACTGTGCTGATGCCACGCGCAGAGCAAAAGCCGCCGGGCAAAATTCGTCGATTTTTCGCTGCATATTCGTCCCATGGAGTTCAGCCTTAACAGTTTTCGTCTTCGGTTTAGCGGAAAAGCACGCTTCATCGGCGTCATGCCCAGCGATATGGTCACCAAGGGTCGAAGCAAGCTTGTCATCACTCGTTGTTTTCAGTTGTTTCTGGCGTAAAATATCAGACAGCACTGCAAACTAAGCATATATTAAAGTTATACCATAGTCATATACGTAAAATATAAAATTTGTTGAAGAATGCATTCGCTGGTATACTCTGTCTCCTCCTACGATGGACTAAAGGCCACAGCCACGGGCCGCCAGGTCCAATCCCGTTTCACGCTATACTATGACACGCTTAACATTGATTAGGGGTGGACGAATGACGCTCCGAATCCAAAAGCGCCGCATCATTTCTATAACTTCGACGCTGCATATAGCCTTTATGTTGTGGCTTTCCTGGCGATGTAAAATTTTTTAGTCACTCAGTACTCTTCGATTCGAACAACTGTCCACCCGTCCCCTGATCAGTGGTCCGAGACGCGACATCTGATACGTGCATCGAAGCGAAACACCACGCAATTTCTAAGGGGATCGTGATTGGACCTGGCGGTCCGTGGCATTTGCCTTTAGTCCATCGTATGGTGAGACGAAGTATAGAGGGATGGCTTTGATCTCGCGCGTCAACAGAGTGAGAATATTCGCATTGGCTCAAGCCGGTTTCTCTCGGACAGCAACTGCTGCGGTAGTATGACACAGCCGTGGCATGACGCTGACGAACTGCTCTCCGCCGTGAAACCGAAACTGATAAGCGAGTGTTGCGCTTTAGCAGAGCCCCAAGTGAGTTCTCGCTGGGGGGAGAATGCCGTCGGCCGGAGCGCACGCAGCGCCCTCGCCAGACACCGTTTCGTCCGCGCGCTCCCAGTGGGTTTTTCATATTGTAGGAGATTGTACTTCAAGTAAAGTTGTAA